CCTGCCCTGCTGCAGGAGGCAAAGCCTGCCCTGCTGCAGGAGGGCAGTGAGGTTCCACGAGGTGAAAGGACATGGTCAATGTCACCGAGACAAAAAGAAACAGCCCCCAATGTAAAAATCCATGTCTTGTCTTCATCACTTGGCTCATCTTTGAAACCCACTGTTACTGCTGGAACTCCACCACGGGTCTGCTGTACTGACAGAGAGCTGGAGCCAGAAGAGGGCAATTTCTGGGCCACCCTCACAACATAAGGCATGAGTGGAGCAGAGGCAGCTCAGGGCTGACAGCAGGACACCCTCATCCCATGGGACACCTCATCACATCGGGGGCTGGGCTCACCGAGGCTAGCACGATTGCCCCAGTCTTGTCCTCTGATGCCATTTCCAATGCACAGTGTGGGGATACAGGAGCAGAGTCCCAGGGAGTGTTTTATTGGGAAGATCTGCAGCTGGAGCAGTCTTGCCCTCCAGACAGCACCAAAGTGCTCTGGCTCAGGCTCCTGCTCATCCCACCCCCTTCTCTAGCACATACCACATAATCCCTGCCTACTGCCAAAGCCAGGGACACCATCTCCAGCCCCCCTCTCCCTGGATGACCACACATCTCACCCTCATTCCACTGTATCTCAACACCTCCTCTCCCCTCAGCCCCCACCATCTCCCACCCCACCTCCCTCAATCCCACAGAACTCCTTTCTCCATCCCCCATGTGTGACCCATCCTCTTTCCCATGACCCCCTTCTTACTCTCCCACCTGCCTCCTTCCCCGTCTCTCCATTCTCCCACTTTGCCTGAATCCCCCAGCGCCCCTTGGTTTGACCCATCTCCCCTGGAGCCCCCAGGCCCCTTTTCACCACTGTTCCCCCCCATTTGTTGCTCTGGATCCCACACAACCTCCTTATTCCCCTTCCCTGCTCCCCAGTCTTCCCTAAACCTTCCCCTTCTCCTTTCCCTTTGCACTGCACCCTTTCCCTGGATTCCCCGCCCAAGTTCTTCACTTTAATCTTTCTCTAAATCCCGCTACCTTCTTTCCCCGTCTTTCCTGAACGTGCCTCCGATCCCCCTCGCCCCGTTTCCCCTGGTCTCCTCCGGATTCCTCCCCCTGCCTCATTAATCCCCGCTGTTCCCTCCATTCCGCAGTCTCCTTCCCCAGCCCCCCCCGCGAAACCCTCCTGACAACTCCCCACTCACCCTACCCATCTCCCTAAAGCCCCCTGCCCCAGTCCAGACGCCGCCTGACCTGCCCAGCTCCGTTTCACCCCCCGGTCCCCTCCCCGACCCTTCCGTCCGTTCCCCATGTGGCCCCCCCCCATTACTTACTCCCGCGCTGACCCTCCGCAGCCCCCCATGGATTCCCCGCGCCCTCTCCTCACCGGTACAGCCGCTTGGTGTCAGCACCTTGGCCTCCGGCTCGCCGCTCTCGCCGGGGCCCCGCGCCCTGGCTCACTGGGCGCGCGGCCCCTCGGCCCGGCCCGCCGGCCCCCTCACAACCTGCCCGCGCCGCGCGCCGCCGCCCCGGCCGCTCCGCCAGGGCGCCCCTGTCCCCCCGGCGGGCCGGCTCCTCGCGAGACCTTGCCCGGCCGCGCCGGCAGGCGGCAGGGCGGGGGCGATCGCCCTCGCGAGAAGCTGCGCTCGCGCCCGCGCCAGCACTTAGTGCTGGCAAATCATGGCGGCGGACGCGGCGTCATCTCGCGGGACTTGCGCACTTAACACACGCGGCCGCCGCTTTGCCAGCACTTAGTGCTGGCAAAACATGGCGGCAGCGGCGGCAGTGAGGGGATCCTTAAAAGCCAAAAAAACCCCCAACTTTCTAAGGCTCTTTTTGAGTGTTAGAAAAGTCAAAAATCTTATTACGCACGCCCCATGCGTAGATGATGCCTAAAAGCCAGAAAACAATTCTCTTTAGACTGAATTTTTGAGTTTTAGAAAGCAAAAAGCACTCGTTTATTACGGCACGCCCGGATGCAGAGGTGATGCCTAAAAGCCAAAAAAACCTAAGATTCTTTTTGAGTTTTAGAAAGCAAAAAGCACTCGTTGATTTACACTGGGTGCATAGGAATCATTTCCAAAGTACACATGCCGAACTATATATGTGTTACAACTTTATGCAACGTTATACTGTTGTCTAATTACAGTATTTGGACTACCTCATCTGTTAGACCCACTTCTAAAACTGTCCCTCCCTCAGTACCACCCTCTACACACCTTTTGAATGTGAGTCGGACGTCGCAAAGGACCACTCCTTCATCCTGATCTCACTCTTTGTCATCATCTCTGCCCTTCTTGGAACAACTTCAAGGCTTCTGAGGTCTCTGAATAGCTTTGACTCCATTATATCAAGCTGTTATGGCTTTTTTTTCTAAGCACATCTTCTACAGGCAAGATGCTCTAAAAGCCTTTATCTGTTGGAATCCTTGACAAGAAGGTTAAACAATATTTTCAGAAATTCAACACAAAGGTACTTAGCTAAAGTGGTACTAAAACTGCTAAGGGCTATACCAAAATCTATATAATATGTATTTAAGGCATCACAGGAATATTTCACAAAGGTTGCATACCGAATACATTGGTGTTACAACTCTACACTACCATCTAATTACAATATTCAGTTTTAATTACAATATTTGGCCGTTACCTCGTCGGTTACACCCATCCCCAAACCCACCCCTCTCATCGGACCGCCCCCGTCCCGCCTCAGACACGCCTCCCGAATTGGAGTCGGTGGTCCCCTTATCCTTGTCTTCCTCATCTTGTTCCTTGGTCTTTGGCATAGCATCACACTTTCTGGAACGGTTTCAAGGCTTCTGAGCAGCTTCGGATTGCTTGTATCAGGTGTTGTGACTGTTTCTCAGTACATTTTACAGATAGAAAACCTCTTCACCTCATTAAAGCCCCGTGTTTGTTGAAATTCTTAATAAAGAACGCCAAACAGCTCTTCAAAAAATCCTGCACAAAGCTACTTAGCAAGCTAAATGTACTGATGAGCTATACAAAAATCTTCTATAATACAGATTTTAAGGCATCAGAACGGGGGGAATGGAGCAGGAACCCCTGCCGGTGGCTCCCCCATGGGTGTCTTCAAACTGAATTGTCTCCAGGATGAATCTTCTCGCCTTTTGTAAAAGTAACCTACAAGAGAAGCTGCTCAATAAAAGAGAACTCCATGTTTCAAGCACTGTGTGAGATTGCAAACACAAATAAAAAATAATTTTTTATTGAAAAAAACCACAAATTTTGTGACACAAATAAATATGCATTAGGTGGGTGGGCAATATGTATTAGACAGGCGGGGTCATGTAAATTTTACTTTCCAGAAGAAGAAATTTAGTGTTACCCTTTAGTGCGTTTGATTTGCAGCAACGCCTAAACAAGGACTGACAATGTCTTCTTTCTAAACAGAGAGCTTCTCATTTAAACTCGGCTTTTAAAATTATTCTATTTCTTGTAAAGGAATATTGGTCCCATGATGGACTAGAGTAAAACAAACAGGGACACTGGTTCAAAGACACTTAAAGATTTTATTTTATTGTATTATGCCTACAAAGTGCAGCTGTGCTTGTTATAGATGTTTACTTCGGAGTATACATCTTGAAAGTGGCTAAAAACTCAGAAAAGAAACAACATATTTTTCTAGTGATCACCTGAAGAGTTTGAAACTGAGCTCATTTAAGGCAATAAAATGAAAAGCTAGTTTATAAGCTGTCTCATGGTATAAATGACCAGCCCACCAGCAAGCCACATCCATAAAACACAGGGACGAAACCACCAAAAATGCAGGCTGATAAGAGTATCAAAACCATACGCACATTACCCACCTCAAAGCAGATATTTTATTTCAGTTCGGTTATTTCATTGAACTCCAGGAGCCCCGGGGGGACTCCCGGGAAGGGGCGGGCGCAGAGCCTCGCCCGGCCGGGAGGACCCCTCCGCCCGCCCCCCTACCGCCCGCCCAACCTGAAGCTGGTCCGACAGGTTAAGGTTCAGAGGGCGGCCGAGGAGCGCGCAGGAATTGCCCGCCGCTATCCGCCGCAGAGGCGCCGGACCGTAGTCTCCCCATGGGCCCCGCCGCCTCTGCCACGAGTGAGTCCCGCAGCGAGGGGAGGTGGTGCCGTGGGGCGGTGCGCGAGCGGGGTCGGGCTGGGACTGGGGCTAGGAATGGGGCTGGAAGTTGGGATGCGGGCGCTGGACGTGCGGAGGCCCAGGAAGCTGCTCTATAGCTGCACTTCCGTGTGTGGATCTCGAAGGGAGACTCGTGCCACTCCGTGCCTCAGTTTCCCCACACCTGTGGCTCCTTCTGGGGATGCAGGGACGAATGTGTACAGAGGGAGAGATTTTCATTGTGGAGGTAACACCCGAGACGAGCAAAGAGACAGGGATCCCCTAAAGGGAAACATCCCCTAAAGGGAAACAATACAGGGCTCTGCCTGTGCCTCCTGCACCCCGTGAAGGGCACCTGGCAGCCCCCTGCACCCACCTCACATCAGTCTCGGCTACAAGAGGCAGCAAACCTGGCCCATCCCGGCTCTAGCTGGGTTCCCAGGCACAGCCAGGCCACCTCTCCCCGGGGCTTGGGTGGCGCTGGCACAAGACAGAGCAGTGGAAGAGCTGGTTGTATCACCCAGCTGCTCCAGGGTAACCAGACTGTGCCCAGCCAGAACCTCCGGGGTGTTTGTCCGGCAGGGGAAGCCATTCCCAGCCAGACCCAGCCCCCCAGAGCTCGTCTGGCCCACCCAGACAGTCCCTGATCCCTCTGCCACAGCCCAGAGTGTGGGCATACCAGGTGTTGCTCTCTCCTTGTAGTGCACAGACAGGTGGGTGCTGGGGGCTCCAGGGGTGCCAGTTTGCCCCTGTGACCCCAAACCTCTCATTTCCAATGTTTTTTTGTCTGTCTCCTTACTCCTGGTGCAGGGTGAAAGTAGAAGAGACAGAAACCTCGTCCCCTCTCAACACAAGTGGAGCAGAGTGTCAGCAGTCTGCAGCAGTGCAGACCTGGCCACTCTCATGGCTGCCGCAGACCCTGTCCTGCCCCCCGAGGAGGTGGCTTTGCTGGAGCTGGGGGAAGTGGCCCTGGACAAGGTGCCACCAGCCCTGGATGAACACCTAGAGGACCCTGATGCCACCCTGCCATGGGACCGGTGCCAGCACAGCGCCCAGGGCCAGCCAGAGCCTGCAGAGGCAAAGAGGCGCTCGAGTCCCGAGGGGGGCCATGAAGACCCCAAGGAAGCTGCTCCCACCTGCCCACTAGCCGAGGCTGAAGAGGATGAGGAAGGCCCTGGGCTGCCCGTGATGGCAGCCCACGTCTTTGTGCCCATCGACCCGCAGTGCATCGAGCAGAGTCCCTGCAAGCAGAAGCAGCACCCTGCTCCATGGCCCCAGGAGGAAGGCAGGGGGGGCCACATTCCCCCCAGCAACAGACCCAGCAGCCCTCCACACAGCAGGTCTTCCTCCCCTTGGTCCCTCGGTTATCAGGACGCCGCCCTTGGTTTGAGGGGCGCGTGCCAACGCCCCGGCTGAGGCGCCACAGTGCCCGTGTGCCAGGGACTGTGGCTCCAATAACCTCAAGGCCGTGGCCTCAGTGGTGGGGGCCCTGCTCCTCTGCCCCTGCCTCATCTACGGCGCCTATGTCTTCCTGCCCTTCGACGCTCCGCTGCTGCCCACTGTCAGTGCCCGCCTGGTCTACACGCTGCGCTGCGCCACCTTCGCCACCTTCCCCGTGGTGCTGGGTGAGCCAGGGGGTTGGGGTACAAGCCTCTCGCCTCTGCTCTGGGCCATGTGAGCCCCAGGACTGTGGGAATCAGAGCTGGGGCCAAGCTCTTTGCGGCTCCACTGCTCCCACTAGGTGCAGCAGGTGGAGTTTTCCTCCCCTCTCTAGTGCTCCTTAGCCCCACTGAAGCTCCTCTGGGCACCCGCTCAGCCCCTCTCTCTGCCCCCCAGGGATGATTGTCAGCGGCATCTCCCGCCTCTGCTCCTCTGCCCTGGAGCCCTTTGGGGAGCTGCAGCGGGAGGTGGAGATCCACCGCACCTACGTCTCCCAGTCCATCCAGCTCTTCATCCTCTACTTCTTCAACATGGCCGTGCTAGCCACCTACCTCCCTCAGGAGCTCCTCAAGCTCATCCCGCTGCTCACGGGGCTCTTTGCCATCTCCCGGTAAGTGGCTCCTTCACCCTGGGGCACCGCCAGGCTCTGTCAGCACCGGCAAACGCCATCCCTTGGTGCGACTCCTGCTCTGGCAGTGCCTCACTTGGCCAGCCACAGCCAGGGAGGGTTCTTCATCTGCACCCTGCTTCCTGCAGTGGCCATGCATGGAAAACCCTCCCTGGTCAGAACCCCCAGGCGAAGCTGGTGCCGGCCCCATGGCATCACCCCCACTGAGCCCGCACCCTCTGCCCTCTCCAGGTTGATTTTCTGGCTGTCCTATGCCATCAGCCGCTCCTTCCGTGCCTTCGGCTTCAGCATGACCTTCCTGCCGCTCCTGGCCATGCTGCTCTGGAACCTCTATGGCATGTTTGTCCTGGAGCCTGAGAACCTCCTCTCTGTGGCAGCACCAAAGCCCGAGGGCCTCTCCAAGGAGAGCGGAGCCAAGCTCCGGCACTGGGGGTGAGGGAGGCCCGGGAGATGGGGGCCTAGACCCTGAGGGCTTGAGCCCTCTTCGCTGCCCTGCCCAGAGAGCCTCGATGGCACAGGGGTGCTGGCAGATCCCGCTGGGCCCTTGTTCCCTGCCCAGACATGGCAAGGTTTTGCTGTGCTGAAACCCTCCCCACCAGGAGTCTACTGCAGGAGGGCAAACAAGGCCTGGAACAAGACCCAACAAGCCCTGTTCTATGGGAATGGGGTGAGATTTGCCTCCCTTCCTGCTGGAGCCGACTTTGTCCAATAAAGCCCTTCACCAAACAGCTCTGTGTCTGGTTTAGGGGGGTTTGGGTTAAATTGCCCAGGGAATGACTTGGGACTTCACCCACAGGATGCAGTCATCCAGCCTCAAAATGATGTTTCCAAGAGGGGAAAAAAAATCACATTTCCCCCAGATTGTCCCTCTTCCAGCCCTGCATCCCACTGCTGTGTCCCTGTGTGGTCAGTCCTGCTCCTCTTGTCCCTCCTCTTCCTCCTGGTGGAGGTTCAGCACCCAGTTCACGAACCAATTGGCCAGGCAGGAGGAAGGGAGCCCTCCCCAGGGAGGGTTGCAGGGAGAAGCTGGGACAGATGACATGGAACCAGGCTTGCCACTGCCCAGGGCTTGGGATGGCCGATCCCTCCAGGATGGGTGCTGAGTCCCCTGCTCTGTGGACATGAAGGGACCCCTGGGAGTTGCACATTTGATGGTCTCAGTTCTCTGATTCTCAAGCATAACTCAAAGGAGTTAAAAATCCACCAAATCCAGGGAAAGCCCCTCCAGCCCCAGCTCTGCCAGGTGTCTGGCCTGTCCCTCCTCCCATCCCACAATGCTGTATCAAGGGAGCAGCCCACCTGAGCCAGAGAACTGGACTCGAGGACCTGAGGGAATGGCTGGAGCTCCGTCAGGGGAGGTTTAGATTGGATATTAGGAAAAGGTTCTTCCCTCAGAGGGTGGTCAGACACTGGAACAGGCTTCCCAAGGCTGCCAGAGCTCAAGGCGTGTTTGGACAATGCTCTCAGGCCCATGGTGGGATTGTTGGGGCTGTGCAGGGCCAGAAATTGGACTAAATGATCCTTGTGGGTCCCTTCCAACTCAAGAGAGTCCATGATTCCATGACTCTTCTGAATGTACCTCATCAAGGACACAGCCCAGGGCACTGATCCTGCAGCTCATGGGGAAAACTCCCCTGAGCACCACAAGTGCTACAAGGCACAAGTCCAGGTGCAGAGGCTCCTCAGCACTGTCCCATTCCTGCCAGTCGCAAGATCTCCTCCAATTTCTGGACCATCTGGTTGTTCAGTGTTAATTACAAGGGTCCGAGGGCACAAAACCAGCCCCATTTGCCCTTTCACACCATCTGTGCCCAGAAAAGCTTCCAGCTTGTCTCAGTTTTCTCCCTCAAATCGCTCTGCTCCACAACAAGGTTTTGTCTTCCCCTCTCAGTTACCTGCTCCCTTCCAGCTCCCAGGGATCCAGCAACTGGCAGCCAAGAAGGAAATCATAGGGAAGGAGTAGGTTGGATGCATTAACCTCTGAAAGCCAGGTGCTGCACGAGGAAGGCGCTTTGCAGAGAAATTCAAGTCTCTTCTTTGTAAAAACCTCTGAGGGTCTGTGCTGGTTTAAGAGTTAACCAGCAGGGGGAATGAACTCAACTCAAAGGAGAGATTATAAGTCAGAATAACAATTTATTAAAATAATACAGTAAGTACAATAATACAAACAAACAATTGGTCTCAACCCACAAAAACCCAAATGTATAACCCAGTGCCCTGGGGCATGAACAAAGTGGTGTTCCTTGGGCCCTGTTTGAGTCCAAAGTAAAGGGAGAGGGGAAGAACCTGCTGGTGGGAGAGCTGCTGCAGTCTGGCCAGAACTGGTGATCGCAGTCCAGTGGTGGTCTAAGTCTGGTTGAGAGCAATGAACTCCAGCCTTCCTCTGGATCCCACGAGTGGGTTGAAAAATGTTCCAAGAGTCCAAGATTATATATCCTCCAGTTCAGGCAGGAATACTTAGTGCTCCCCTCAGGGCAGGGAGTTCCACAAAGGGTGTGAGGACAGGAGCATCCTCCTATCTCACAGGCCTCTTAACACCTAGTTTATAGCCTGAGGAGTCAGGCTCTATGGGCAGAGGGTGCGAATAGTCTATTGACAACCATTTCTGGGAAATGACATGGAAGGCTATAGAATACACAGTTTTGGGTTACACCCATACACGATGAACTGATCTCAGCTGTCCTAACTAGGACAGGGTCTCAGGCCCAGGACAGGTGCTGTGTCAGTGTTTGGGGACTGGGACCAGCCTGCCCTGGCTGCAGCAAACCCTGCAGAGGGGTGGGCTGGGAGGGAAAGGCCCAACCTGTGGTTATGTGGCCTCAATGGCCAACAGGGATCGAACCTCTGGGTTGCTTTCCACAGTCAGCAGCTTGGAGGAGCTTTGCCCGGGGCAGCAGGGAAAGAGGAAAGTATGGGAGAGTGTTAAAGGGGTTTGGGTTTGTTGGTTTGGGTTTTTTTTGTTGTTGTTGTTTTGGGTTTTTTGTATTTTTTTTTTTTAATTTTTATTTTTTAAAGGCAGACTCAGGCATGCTGAGTGCAGTACCACTAAGAAAAGTACTGATGATGATGATGATGTCATATTAGACTCTTACAACATTAATGAGATACCATAATTTTGTACATTGGGTTTGATTATGTGGAGGAGCAGCTGGATCAGCCTTGAGGAGGCCGGGCTGTCTGTGACCATAAGCATTCAGCTCTGTCAGCAGCACTGACTTTTCCACCTGTGTTTTCTTCCTGTAATGAAATCCAACCGTTTTCCTTAACGCCCGGCTCCCAGAGCGAGTAACGTGTCCCACACCGTGGTTCTGCGGCCTCTCAAAGCTGGTTACTTCAACTTCACCTCTGCCACCATCACGTACCTGGCACAGGAGGGAGGACAGGTCGTGGTAAGTGGACGATTTAGAGGAGCCCTGCAGATACCCCTGACAGTGCTCTTGCAGCAGCCTGGTTGGGGTGATGTCCCTGAGCTCTCACCCTGCCCAGCTCTGCCCCAAGAAGGAAAGTGGTAAAGCTTGTCTTTTCCCTGCCTCTTCCAGGTTGGTTTCACTAGTGCTCCCGGGCAAGGAGGAATTCTGGCTCAGCGTGACTTTGACAGGAGGTTCTCCCCTCACTTTGTAAGTACCTTTCAGCTGACAATGGAAATTGCACTGCAGCAGCTGCAGCCCAGCACAGTGGCTTCCTGCTGCACATGGTGTGTGTGGTTTGTCCTGCAGTCACCTGGAGAGCTCCAGTGGTATTGCAGTTAATCCCTGTCAGTTCTCCGTAGGAGTATCACAGAAGCAGCCAAGAGTTTCCACTCCAGCTCCCTCTGTGGAAGAGCTGCACTGTGGGATTTGAGCCAGAAAATTGGAGAGTAGAATCTTAGAACCTTCTAGGTTGGAAGGGACCTACAAGGATCCTGGAGTCCAACTCCTGGCCCTACACAGGACAACCCAACAATCCCACCAAGTGCCTGAGAACGTTGTCCAAACTCCTTGAGCTCTGTCAGGCTTGGTGCTGTAACCACTTCCCTGGGGAGCCTATCCCAGTGCCTGATCACTCTCTGGGGAAGAACCTTTTCCTTATATCCACCTTAAACCTCCCCTGACACAGCTCCATGCTGTTCCCTCAGCTCCTGTCCCTGGTCACACAGAGCAGAGATCAGTGCCTGCCCCTCATGAGGAAATGCTCCACACAGAACCCCTTGGGGTCACCTACCACAGCCCCTGAAAAACCCCAACCTTCGGATGTGGTCTTCGAGTTGTGGGGAGAGAGAGAAGCTGGTGGCAGTGCCTGTGGGGAGCCCACCCTCTCAGGGTCCCCAGTAGTGCCCAGCCCAGGGGAGCTTTTCTACACCTCCCCCCCCCTCCTATCACACAAACAGCCTGAAACAACATCTTTACTTAGAGGACCAGGCGAAGTTTTGGTCCAGAGACCTCGCCCCAACATCAGCGTCCTGTAGCACAGGGGCACCTCCGGGGTTTCTCCTGTCATTCCCTGACTTTCCCCAGCTCAGCCTTGGGACCAGGTCGCTGCATTGAGCTCTTCCCCACATCGGTGCAGCACTGGTTGCAGGGGAGGATGACTCTGCCTGCCATGCACGATTGGCTCGAGGTGATACATGGATCTAATTTGTTAAGTCTCTTCAGTCTGTGCAGTCAGTCTCAGAGGGTCTTCTTGGGGGGTCTTTAGGGACCCCTGTGGGGGTCATTGAGCCACTGAACTTCGGAGTTTTCATCCTGATCTTCCATATACAGTGTTGTTTTCATCTAAGCTGCACAGTAGGTTCCTGAACAAACTGGATTGGGCTGGTTTGACTTGTTCCATAGGTGATTGCAGAGCTCTCAATATACCAGTGTTCCACTGGTCCACTGACCGTTAGGTACCATCCCATTAACCGTTGTTATTTACAACATAGGCAGCCCATCAGGAAGGTTCATATCCATGGTGGCTCTGTAAAGTGATGAGAGAGGAGAGCAAGGAAGAGAATCAGGGTTCAATTCCTCCGGAATCAGGTGCCAAGAGCCCCAAACACTCCCCTCACGTCACACAGCCCCGCTGCTGCTGCAGCCCCATTTGGGGCCAGGCGGTGAACAAGGGAAAAACAGAGATGCCTGACCTGTTGAGCTTCGTTGACCATAGAGCAGATGGAACAGCTCAAAGGTCATCAGAAGGGGTGGCTACTCCTATGTAGAACAGGGTTGCTATGAATTCCACAGTGTGCATGACCCTCGTTCATATCCAGAGGATGAGCCACGACAGCGACTCTGCAGCCTGGGGCATGTTGTGCAGGATGTTGGGGCCATGCCCAGCTCCAGCAGCAGCATCGTCCTCTCCCCTGTGGGGACAGGGCAATCCTGGGGCTCAGCTGGGAACTGGCACCCCCCCAGCACCCTCCTGGCTCCTGGGCCCACAGCTGCTCACTTGGGCAGCACCAGCAGCATGGTCATCATGTCATGATGGAGAAGGCCATGCCCAGCCCCAGTTCCAGCTTCTGTCGGTTCCAGGGAAGCATTCCACCATTTTTTTTTTTTGTTCTACGGTTGCCAGAGGAGCATTCCACTGCTGCTATTGTAGGTCACAGCATCTCACAATTGTATATTCCACGGGAGAACCTGCCACCTAGCATATCCAGAGGCACACAGATCAGGGGACCGTGCTGGGACCCGGCTGCTGCTCCGGGACACTGGTGGGGCCGCAAAAAGGACCCCACAGAGACATTTCCAGAAG